CCCACCCACCCCAAGTCCCGGGTGTGGGGCATGCTCTGAGATATTCGCTCAGGCGGTTTTAATAGTTCACTAGTTATGAATCGCTGCCAATCTCGCCCCTCCAAACACGATGAGGTCGTTGAAAAATCCACTGATTGACATTGTCCATCATAGCGTCTCTATTTGCCCGGTATTTTATTGCCAACCTATAGCTGAGGTGGTTGATTAACTTGTTCCATCTTCTGCCATTTCATGGTTAGGGTTCTTCTGAGCCCGGCATTTCAATTGGGGAGATCGTCAAAGAAATTTCCTCTGAGGTGTTCCCAGGCCAGATTCTTGTATGCACCAGCAAGTACCAGGCCCGGCACAGTCCATCACCCTGGTCAGCTGGTGGTTGCAATTGCTGGGTTAGTTCTGTTTTCAGCCCTGCCTTCCACTGGAACCAATGGGTGTTGCAGTCCAGACTGGTTCTGTGCAGCACATACTCGGCCCTCACACAAACCAGTGGGAGCTGCAGCCTGGTGAGAGCGACCTGCAATAACCCCCACCAGGCCCACCCCCTACCCTTGTTTGCCAGTATGTGAGGCAGACCAGTCCAGTCTGTCCCACATCCCCCTTGGCTCTCGTACATGGCAAATGGCATTGAAGCTTAGATCCACCTAACCAGCTCAACAACCAAGCCCTCACGGGTGTTGTTGAGTGCCTCTCTGTCTAGCCACCCCAGCCCCTGTCCTAGTTTCTGTGCCAACCCATGGCAGTGGCAACCCAAGAGGGGGGGAAACCCTCTATTTTCCTCCCAGGTCTCTCACTCCCGGATTGTGCACTTTCCAGGTGGTTCTGTGATTTAACTCTACCAGCTGATGCTGCGGCTATGCCCAAGCAACCCTCGCCCACTCTAATTGTAGGTTGCACCCATAGGAATAATCAGCCCAGCCTGGATTTTCCCTGATCTAGTCCACATGAGACGTACAGGTGTTGTAGCCCTGCTTAGTCTGGTCTGGCCCCATCCCACTTCATGCTCTCCAGTGGGAGTAGCTGTCCAGCAGGGGAACCACCCCTTATTTCCCTGCTGGCTCTGCCCCCTCCCTTCCTGGTTCTCACCTGTGCTGGATGGGCACTGCAGTCACATCCGGCACAGACAACCTCATCCTGGCATTCTGTAGAGAGGACTGGTTTTTATTGCAACCAAACCTGGCTCGACCCTTACTCTGATCTGGTGCTGGGATTTGCCAGTGATGATGTTAACTGATTCAGCCTGGTCTGCCCCCGATCCATGCCTAATATATGCCAGTCTGAAACTTCTTGTGGCCTGCTCTGGGCTGTCTCCATTCTTGCTTCTTGCACTTACCTGCAGGGTCTGTGTCCTGCCAGAGGAGTTGCCCAGGCTCCTCCATCAGAATCTCTCCCAATGTCAGATTTCGCGCGTATCAGGGATGTCCATGAGCCAGCCCTACTCAGTTCACCTCCTGTCCTAGCAGGAACAGTGGCTTTTCCTGACTGGCCTTTGACCCAAGCTGGTTCTTGTTGTTGGATGTTTCAGCCCAGTGGTTTCCTTTAGAAGAGAGAATCCCATCTGTGTTAATGAATGATATGAATTATAATAGTAAGAAGTAGGGCATAAATGAAATGGACTGCATTACTGATGCCAAGGATACTAAAACAAAAGCCTTCAACTCCAACATCCACATCGCTCCCATTCACAATTTGAAAGAAGGAATGATTACCTTCATACCGCAATGGATATTCTCTCATTAAAGACGTTTTCTAAATACAAATGCCAAATTTCAAAGAATAGGTTTCCTATTGCACAAATTTGTTTCTATTTGTGATTGTATAGCTTAAAATAAATAATATACGTATATAATCACTTGCCAAAATTAATTTAGCTAAGCCCAAATTTTATCCAAATTCTGCAATCTTCTAGTATTTTGAAAGATCATAATGTCTGAGCAATTTTCTGAGTAGAAATGTACAATATCACTATTACTTTTGAAACAAATGAGGGGAAAACGTCATGAATTTGGAAAGAGATAATGAATAAAGAATTGCCCTTTAAACATCAGAGGAGACGTGTTTAATCTAATTCATGAAATAGTATTTATTACTCTAGGAAAATATGTTTGGTTCTGGCATTCTACTTACTATTTCCTTAAGGTTCGATATTGTAAATTCCCCTACTATGCAGATTTCAGGTCAATTTTGTTGCAATTTCTTGTCAAAGCTGAGCACTAAGATTAGATCTTCAGCTGCTGATGTGCTTAATTCCATCTCACTCTGTGTGTGTGTGTGTCTCTCTCTCTTTCTCTCTCTCTCCTGTTCATTTCTTTTTGTCCTCTCATTGCTGCTAATCTCCAGTTCCTGAACTGCTTGTGAAAAATATGTCTGCCATTATGTACTGTTCCCTTCACTGATATTTTGATAATGAATGTGGATTACTTACTGTAGCTATTGAAAATCCTGTGTGTAAGTATTGGAAATTTTTGAATTTAGACATGTGAACTGTTTTTTTTTTTAGAGCGACTCACAGAAAGAACATGAAAAGTCTCAACTATTAGTGTTCTTCTCTTGGTAGTGTAGTTAGAGGTTAAAGATACAAGTCTTAGGATGAGCCATATTGGACTGCAAGCCAGGCTTTGGAGTATAGAAATTGCATAAGGTGCTTCGGCCTTTCTAACCTCCTGTGACAATGTAGCACACCTACTGACCCTAATTACCTCCCTCCCCTTGCTGTTTGTGAGGATTTAATAGCATTAAGCATTTTGGACTTCTTGGCAACACTCTGACACTGAGCACACAGTATTACTATGATTCAAGTAAAGGGAACCTGTACTCAGATTGGGGATGTCATACACAGACATGCTAAAGTGTTGTGTAGTTCCGGGTTTACCAAGAGGGTTGGAAACAGCAATCATACTTCTTTTTTTTTTTTTTTTTGAAAGATTTATTTTTATTATTTTTTCATTGGAAAGGCGGATATACAGAGAGGAGAGACAGAGAGGAAGATCTTCCGTCCGATGATTCACTCCCCAAGTGAGCGCAACGGGCAGATACTATGCCGATCCGAAGCCAGGAGCCTCTTCCGGGTCTCCCACGTGGGTGCAGGTTCCCAAAGCTTTGGGCCGTCCTCGACTGCTTTCCCAGGCCACAGGCAGGGAGCTGGATGGGAAGCGGGGCTGCTGGGATTAGAACCGGCGCCCATATGGGATCCCGGGCGTTCAAGGCGAGGACCTTTAACCACTTGCGCCACTGCGCCGGGCCCAACAGCAATCATACTTCTGAAGCTGCTATCAGAGTGAAATTACCTGTGCCTGGGGGAAACACATTTATCAAATAACAGTGAACCAGGTTAAAAAAATTTAAAAAAAAATTTTTTTAATGTGTGCATTTTCCTAAGCTAGAGATTTCTACACCTAAATCTTTTCAAGTGTGTCCTAGTTCCAGAAGAGAAGCAGAAAATTCTTGCAGACACCAGACCACACTATTCAGTGAGCCCTTCAGAGTATGTCCCAACATGAAGGCTTGCGTATACATGAGGATAATGTGTGTGATGCTTCCATTACAATCCTGCAGAAATAAGGGCTTTCCTTGATTGCATGTCTTCAAATAACAAGGGCAGAAACTCTGCCTGGATCAATGAGCAGGAGCATGAACTTGACTAGGCTATTACCTCCCATGATTAATATCAATAATAATGATTTTTAAAACCCTGAAGATGTTTATTGGATTTTCCTCTTATTTTTGTACAAAATAAGTAAAGACTGAGTGGTCAGGAACCAATAGCCCCACCCATGATTAACCAGAGAGGATCATTTTTAAGGGCAGTGATAACAAAAATCGGTTCCAATAAATGAACTTTGGTCTAGGATGGAAAAGGGGACGGGATGAAGAGTCTAACAGGAACCTCAGTATTTGTAGTTTTTGTAGTCCTGTGCTCAAAAAAATTTTAACTTATGGAAGGTTAAGATTATCAGACAACAAAACTCCAGGCTTCCTCTATTTATACAAGCTTATTTTTTAAAAGATGTGTTTGTTTAATCAAAAGAGTTACAGGGAGAAAGTGAGAGTGAGAGAAATACCGCCCATCCAAAGAATCACTCTTCAGAAGACCACAATGGGTGGGGCTCGGGTTGAGCAAGGCCAACAACCAATTTCTCCAGTTCTCCCTTGTGGGTGGCAGTGCCCAAACACTCCAGCTATCTCCCACTGCCATTTGCAGATGATTAGCAGGAGTGGACAGGAAAGGCAGCAAGAAGGACACACATCCTATTCAGGATACTGTTAATTTTAAGGTTTTATTTACTTATTTGAGACATACACCATAGCTGCTTCATCTCTCAAATGACCAAAAATGCTTAGGCTGGGCCAAGCTCAAGCCAGAAGCTGAGGACACAACCCTATCCTCTAAATGTGAGTGCCAGAGGTTTAGCCACTTAGACCATTTTCCATTGTTCTTCCAGCCCGTTAACAGGAAGCCGGATTGGAAGTGGAGCAGCCAGGACTCAAACTAGTACTCATATCAGATGCAGGTGCATCAGGCTGCACACCTTTATCCTTTGCACTATGATACCGAACCCTGGTGTTCCAACATTAAACTTACCTGCCACAAAAGCAATCGGAGAGGAACACAGCCTGTGGGGTGAGAGCATGCACTGTTGATTTTTGATCAAATGAAAAAGGTAAAATTTCAAAAGAGCCATTGGATGTTAAGAAGAAGCCTCTTGGGCTACCCCATCTGTCCAGTTCAGTGCACAGGGATGCATGGGCAGGGGTTGTTCCCTGGAAGTGTGGTCCCAGACAAGACCCTTCTATACTTGGCTTGCCACCCATGGGGTACCCATGACAGCAGCCAGCAGCTGTTAGTGCAGGAACAGGGATTGGAATAGCCATGGCTGCTGGGCCATCCCTGTGGTCCCTCCCAGCCTGATACCCACTCTCATGCCTTGAGCGCCTGCTGAAGATGCCCCGGAACCTAATCTGGGAGTTCCTGCAGGTTACCCTGAAGCAAGCCTGGAACCTGGACAATGACGCTGTCATCAAGCAGCTACAAGCCTCCAAGTGTGACCTGCCTCCTCCTGCCTTCTGAAGGTGTGCCCCACCTAGGGCTCTGGTCAGCTTCCCTTCTGGAGGGGGAGGGGTTCAGCAGTGGGAGGGCCCAGCTGGGGGGATTTCTGCCTTCTCCTCACACCCCTTGTCTTCCTGTGCTCCACAGCTCTGCTTGAGAACATTCTGATCTGGGCCTCAGGCAGCTTCCAATATGGTCATTTGGGGAGGGAGGGTGCAGCGGTGACAGCTCTCCCACCCCCACAATGTCACTGCCCTACCTGGAAGGCCCAGTTTCTCTGACTCCATGAGTGGGCATGGGACTGCAGGTCCCTGCACAGAACCGAGAGTGCAGCTGAGTGAGGGTGGTGACCCTGCCTGACTTCAAGGTCTCTGAGGGCGCAGCACCACCCACCTGTGTATGTGATGCAGAAGGTCCCTGTGCATGCCCGCAGTTGTTGCCAGAGATGACTGGAGAGCCTGAGTCAGGCATGCAGAACAGAGATGGGCTTGTCCCAGTTCTGGAGGTTGTAGAGTGGGCCCAGGGGCAGGCTTGTATTGGAACTGGTCAGGCTGCCCAGTGGGTGCCTTCCTTGTGCTCTCACATAGCAGAGATGGTGATGGCCAAATCTCTCAGCAGGGCAAGTTCATGTTGTGTCCTCAGCTCGCAGAGGCTCAAGGCAGAGGCGCAGGGCTTGCCCAGCCCCCACTATGGAAGACAGCATCTCTTGTTCCCAAGGGCCCTGCCTGGGACTGCATCTTTGCCCCAAATGCCCACCTCTTCCTACCAACACTGGAGGGTTCAGATCCATCCTAGCCATTTAAGGGGGACCCAAATGCTCATAATTAAGCCATTCCCATGATGCAGCACAGGGAAATTGAGGGGTTAGGTGACAGGGCCAACATGAATCCTGAGTAGCTACCAAGTGTCCCCAGAGATGAGGCCAAGAGGCAGGGCCCTCAGGTCCTTTGCATCTCTTGGGGCCATCCAGGGAAGCCAGAGGTGTCCCTGACACTGCCCTGATCCAGGCTACACATAGCCTTCCCTTAGGGTCAGCAACCTGGAGGGTGTCCTCATGTCACTTCTGTGTTGAGGACCCAAGAGATTAGGTGCAGACCATGTACTCTGTAGGCCATATGGTACAAATGGAGAAGCAAACTTGCTGTGTTTTCCTTTCAGCAAAGCCTGGTGAGGCCTGCAGCAGGAACCATGATCAGATCCACAGCCCTGAGAAGCCTGCCTCTAAAGCCCTGCAGGGCAGGGACACAACTCAGGACCTGGGGCCACCATCGCAGCCCCCTGAGTCTTCAGATTCCCTCGCCGAGAGTAGCTTTTCTGAACCACCCACCATCTATGTGGATTGGGTAGAAGATACAAAGGAGGAGGAAAACTCTTCTGAGGAAGACATCTTTGAATGCCTCAACCGAGACACACAAGTGCAGGCTTGGAGGGCTCCACGTGAGCCCAGCATCACCAAGACACCATGGAGCGTGTGGCACAAGGGAAGGCTGCTCCAGTGGTGGAGTCTTGCCAATCTACAAGGACCAGTGACGGGTGCAGATGGCCCGTGGCTGGAGATGGGAAGCCAGAAGGACCTCTCTGCTCCTCTGCATTCCTCCCAGCCCATGGTTCCAGGACCCACACAGGCCATCCAGGCCCCAGGTTCAGGCCTGAAGACGGCTTCCCTCCATGACTTCCACCAGAGTCCCCTGGAGTATGCTGATGCCTGTGTGATGAACAACATGGCCAGATGCACACAAGGGACAAATGAGCTAGTTCATCTAGAGCAACAGGGGGTGTCAACTGCCTCTTCAGACGATGGAAAGCAAAACAGGTTAGACAACTCTCCTGGCTAAGCTTTGCAGCATGTCCCTGGGCTTGTGGATGCTGTCAACCAATAGACCTTGGAAAGATTTTCTTGGCCTGGGAACATGGGGAAGCTGCTGTGTGTGGGTCTCCCTGTGAACCGTAAGCAGGCTGTTTACCAGAGCTCATTCTCTGTCATGTCCGTGTGCTTTGACTTACAATTTGCCTACTTAAGAAGGAATGATGTGTGGATGTCACATCTTTGTTCTCTGTATCAAATCTGAGTTTATTCAATGGTTTCAGAGAAGGACTAGAAAATTCTGTGCCACCTTATTTTCTGCCAAATTTCAGTAAAACTGTAAAAAATATAAACTGCTTAGGTGAGAAAAAAAAAAAAAGCCTTTGTTGTTCAGGTCTTGATCTCTTTTATCTGTGTCCCCAGAGGTCACTAAGTCCTGCTTCTGCCTGAGGTTTGATGTCTTTGCTCCAAATTTGTTTCTTTGGTAGTGTGCTAGCATGGCAAATTAACATGCCAACTGTATATGGGTGCCAATTCAAGATCTGGCTGCTTCCCTTGCAATTATGCTGCTCACTAATACATCTGGTAATGCAGCCTAAGGTTTCCCAAGTACTTGGGTTTCGGCCCCACTGTGGGACACCCAAAAGATGCTCTAATTTCTTGCCTTTTGTTTGACCCAGTAAGTGCTGCCATATATTGAGTGAGCCAGAAGGTAGAAGATCTCTTGTTCTCTCTCTGCCTTTGAAATAAATAATTAAACCTTAAAAATAGAGACTGGCTTATTTTCAAGCAAAAATTACGAACTAAAAGAGACAGAGATCTATTCACTCACTGGCTCACTCCCCAATGGCAAAAAGAAGGAGTGCTGGACCAAGCCGAGTCCTGGAGCCTGCAGCTTCCTCCAGGTCTTCTGTGAAGGTGAACAGGGTCCAAGCCCTTGGACTGCTTTTCCCAGCAGATTAACAGAGCTGGACTGGAAGTGGAACAGCTGCTTCCATATGAGATTCTGGTGTTGCAATTGGCAGCTTCACATATTATACCACAATGCTGGCCTTTGCCTTAGCTTTTGATACTATTGACAATGTTTTTTTCTTTTTTCTTTCAAAGATTTATTTATTTATTTTGAGTCAAGAATATTTATCTTAAATCGAGCACATAAAAATTTATATTCAGAAGCTAAATGCAAATTTCGTCATACCTGAGAATATTTGTTAGATATACCAGACATTCCTATCTTTCCTATAGACAGTTTTAGGAAAACCATTGGAAGGTAGCTGAATCAGATGGGAAACAGAACTACCACAGTGAGTTGTTTTTTTTATTTCTTATAGTCTAATTCATGACAAGTGTTTTACAGTTAGTACAATCTTATATTACAAATTTTGAATAAATTCTGATGCTGTATGAGTTAGTGGGAGGGTAGAAGGATGGGAGTCTAACATATCCTTCCTGTGCACTTCTTTATTTTGTGATTCTCTGGGACTCGGTTTGACTTTATTTTCTTCATGTGGTGTTAACTAATATGCCTGTGTGACGACCACCTTGCTAAGTAGTAGCCACCACTGGCAAGGCACTGACACTGCAGCATTAACTTGTCCTGATTACTGCCAGTCGGTGTGGACCTTCCCTTGTTGTTCAGTGAGATTTTCCCTTACATAAAGTGCTGCTCTAGTTAGGATCAGTGGGAAGAAGCATGTTGTCTAAATTGTGTGTGAAAAGCTGTATTATTCATGCCAATTCTCGTATTCAAATTGTTTCTTTTTGTCATCATTTTTTTAAGATTTATTTTATTTTTATTGGAAAGGCAGCTATACAGAGAGGAGAGACAGAGAGGAAGATCTTCCGTCCGATGATTCACTCCCCAAGTGAGCGCAACAGGCTGATACTATGCCGATCCAAAGCCAGGATCCAGGAACCTCCTCCGGGTCTCCCAAGCAGGTGCAGGGTCCCAAAGCCTTGGGCCGTCCTTGACTGCTTTCTCAGGCCACAGGCAGGGAGCTGGATGGGAAGCGGGGCTGCCAGGATTAGAACCGGTGTCCATATGGGATCCCAGGCATGCAAGGCGAGGACCTTAACCACTTGTGCCACCACGCCGGGCCCAATCATTTTTTTAAAATAATTCTTACTCATGTATTTTATTCATGAAAGTCACAGAGACAGAGTGATCTACAATCTTCTGGTTAACTCCTTAAATTCCTGCAAGATTGTGACAAGGCCTGGCCAAACACAGGAGCCAGTAGCTAAGTCTGTGTCCAGGAGAGTAGTTGTAAAAACTAACATACCTGAGAAATTTCCTGCTTTCTTTTAGGGAGTGTGTTAGCAGCAAGATGAAATTTGTTGTGGAGCCATAACAAACACCGAAAAGTCCAGTGCAAGGTGAAGGTTCCTAAGCATTTTCTCCAACACTTCTCCAGATGTCCAGACCTCCTCGTTTTAACTGAGCATCTGGTAGGATTGTATTTTCTGTCTTTTAATAAGTTATCTAGGCTATGTGTCTCCTAATTTTTGTTTGTATAATTTCCCTAGAGTCTGTAATGTACATTTGTAAATAATCTACACCCAATTTTAAATAACACTGCAGTTTCTTGAGAAGTTCAGATATGTTATAGTGGCTGTGTTTTTCACCTATCCTGTGTATAATTTCTGTCATTCCTATCAGTTATTATAAATTGTAATGACTTGGTTCATGAATGGTAGTATCATTTGAATATTGATTTACACATTAAATGGTATGGGATGGAGAAAATGAATGTTTGTACCATAATTTAATGCAAACAACTCTGTTCCTCCAATGACCTGACCTCCCAAATCACATTGTACTTTTTGATTAGTTTCTCTATTTTTTAAAGAGAATATAAGCAACATCAGAATTTTGATTAGATGTTTTATTTCCCAAATGCCCACAACTAAAAGTACAGATCAGGGCTAAAGCTGGGAGCTGAGAACTCAATGCAGCTTATTCCTGTGGGCAGCAGAACCCCAGTGTCTGAAGCCATCACCACTGCTGCCCAAGGTCTGTGTTAACACAAAGCTGGAGTCAAGATCAGAACTGGGAATGGGACCCAGGTACTCCAGTGTAAGACACAAGTTCCTTTCCTGCTAGGCTGAACACTCCTCATGTGCTATTGTTGTTTTGTTTTTGTTTTGTCATCATTATTAACTGAGATACATTGATTCAATTCTGAGTACCTTTCCTGTAATTTTACAGTGTGCTTGGAAGACAGCATAGCATGTCCCAACTCCTTGGTCCCTGAACCCCTATGGAGGATTCGAATGGAATTCCAGGCTCTCAGATTTGGCCTGGACTTTGTTGATTATTGTGGCTTAATATGGAGTAAACAAGTGGAGAGAAGATCTCTCAGTCTGTCTCTATTTGACTCTTGCTCTGTAATTCTCACATTTAAGCAAATAATCAAATTGTTTTTAAATAATTACTAAGGGTCTGGCATGGTAGCCTAGTGGTTAAAGTCCTCAACTTGCAATAGCCATTATAACATATGGTTGCCGGTTCAAGTCCCACCTGCTCCAGTTCCTATCAGCTCCCTGCATGTGACCTGGGAAAGTAGTAGAGGACAGCCCAAACCCTTGGGAGCCTGCATCAGCCTGGGCAACCCAGAAGAAGCTCTTGCCTTGGCTTCGGCTCAGCTGAGCTCCAGCTGTTGTGGCCACTTGGGGAGTGAATCAATGGATGGGAGATCTTCCCCTCTCTCTCTTTCTCCTTCTCTCTGTATGGCTGAATTTTCAATGAAAGTAAATATTTATAAAAAAGAAAGATACAATAACAAATTTTAAAAGCACTGTGTTGTATATTGTGTCAGTTTGGACTGCTTAGTTGTTTTAGATAGCTCTTTGTTAGTATGAAGGGATGATTCTCATTTTTAATAAAATTAGTGAATTTTTATTAGCATGTACTTAAATACTATCATAAGTTACAGTGCAGTATTTGAGTATACAAGGCATACGCTAAGTCAATCAGGTGATCAGGCTGCCCACTGTGTTTTTGCAGCATGTAAGGTCGGTGGGCCAGTTTCCTGCATAAGCTTATCATTGTGTGAACTGTAGTCACCACGGGGATGGAACACTGGATTGTGTTCCTTCTGTTTCATTGTCTGTGTTACCTGTTCCACCTCCTTCCTATCCCTAGGCCTCACTCTTCCCAACCTGTAATAATCACCATTCTACATTTACAGTGATGTTTTTTTACATATATATGATAACATGCTAAATTTATTTGTACTTTGGCTTAATTTTATCATATACAGTTTCATCTATTTTACAGCAAACAACAGTATTTTATTATTTTTAATGACCGAATGCAGTCTTGACATTCATTCATTTTCATTATTGATAAAATCAGGGGAATCGAAACCTAAATCAAAAAGAATTGCATCTTCATTCCTATTCCTGTGCCTTTTATTTCCTTCCCTTGTCTACTTTCTTTGAGAAAGTATGAAATTGAATAACAGTAACAGGTTGGCATTCTAACTTGGTTGCATATCTTACAGGAAATACATCTATATACCTCAATTGAAGTTTAGTGAGGTATATCTAAATATTTGTAGGTTTATTTATAAATAACATTTATAAGTAAATGCAGGTAATTTATAAATAACATTTATGCATGCTATTATAA